TATTTGGGCAGTTCTCTTTTTAAGCGGAAAAAGAGAACTCAATTGTTTGAAAATATTTTCACGATGTTTCAAAGGAAACTTTTGAACTGCTCTTCTAATTTTTTTTCTTTTGGTGGTAGGTTGGTTCTGATTAAAAGTGTTTTAAAGTCGATTCCTAATTTTATTTTCCATACTTTGCAACCAACTTCTTCTACTTGTCTTAGAATGGAGAGAATGCTCAATTAATATTTATAGGGATCTAAAAACAATCATTCTTGTATTAATTGGGCTTCTTGGAAAAATGTTTGTTGGGTTTTTGATGAAGGGGCTTTAGGCTGCAAGAATATTTTGGACAATGTTTAAGCTTTTTTTCATAAATTATGGCTTTCCTTTAGAGCTAACAATAATTTGTGGGCCTAGTTTATGAATGTTGAATATTACAAAGATCTTCATCCTCTGATTTGCAATTACAAATCTATTTACTCTTGTTTGGAAAAGTCTTTGACACATCAAATAGGAGGCAAAACAATTTATTCAATGGGGTTTGGGGAAATGTGATGTTTCTTTATGGACAAACAATTGGTTGGGCACTTTTTCAATTGATAGCTATCTTAATACTCATACTATTCATAATATTAAGGTTCACACTTTTATTGAGAATGGCGCTTAGAATGTTAGTAAACTTTTGCAGGTTATCCCGGATGTTTTGATTGATAAGATTTTGCATAGTACGTTACAATTACAGTGTAAGGATAAAGTTTTGTTTAATTTATCATCTTCTGGTAACTTTAATCTAAAAAAAGGTTGGGACTTTATTAGAATTAAATGTGATTTTTCTCACATTTTTTCTAGTATTTGGCATAACATTATTCCTTTATCTTATTCTATTCTTGCTTGGAGATGTCTTAACGACTTCCTCAGTTGATACTTTACTTTGGAAAAAAGGGTTTACTTTTCCTTCTAAGTGCCAATGTTACTTTAATATTAAGAGTGTCAACCATGTTATTATTCATGGGGTCATTGCCCAAAAGGTTTGGTGCTATTTTTTTAATTAGCTAATAAAGGTAATAAGAATTCTAATTGTGATGTTTCATTCATTGTTAAGCATTGGGTGACTAGCACTAAAGATCACATCAACAATTTATTGTTGATTCTTATTATGTCGTACCTCTAGAAGGCTAGAAATAACTCCAAGCATAATGAGATTAAGATGGTTACAAACCAAATTATTGCCAATGTTAGAAACAAAATTCTTCACTTTTACTCTATCAATCTTATTACTGTAAAAAAATTCAGAACGGGCTTAATTTAGCCTTTCAGCTCGGCATTCCCATTGATGGTAGTCCGATAGCAAAAAATTGAGCGTATTGTGAGGTGGTTTAAACTATCAATCACCCCCCCCCCCCCTCTCATGTTAAGCTCAACTCTGATGGCTCGGTTGATACTTTTTTTGCGGGTATGGGTGGCATTATTCGCTATCACAATGGTGGGATTATAGCTACTTTTGCTAGTCCGCTTAATTTATGCACTGTGATTATTGCTGAGCTAATGGGTTTATCCCATGGGCTGGATATTTTTCATAGAATGGGGATTGAGCATGTGGCTATTGAGGTTGATGCTAATTTATTAATTCAGATCATTCATAATGAGGTGCCTGGTAATCCTCATGATTTCTATATCATTAGAAAAATTAAGCACTCTCTCTCTGCTCTTAACTTCTCTATTTCTTATATTTATCGAGAGGATAATGCTTGTGCAGATTGGTTGGCCAAATTTGGTTGTCACATTAATGATTTCTAAGAATTGGATGATTCTAATCTCCCTACTTTGCTGAGAGGATTGGTTAAGTTGGACAAATGTGGGCTTCCTTATATTCGTAATGGTTGAAGGCTCTTTATATGGGTTTATATCTTTTCTGTGTCTCCATTTTCTTCTTGTTGCTGCTGGTTTGATTCATGTTTCTCTATTTTTCTTGTTCGTGTTATTTACTATATATCTTTGACTCTATGCTTGTCGAGCCGGTAGCCTGTTTGGGGATTGGTGTGGTATGGTTTTATTTGATGGAAGCGGTGGAAATATCTTTCCGTTAACTATTTGTATTGATGTTAGGTGGATTGGTTTGTTAATTGTTATATGGATTTGGTTCTTTGGGTTCGTTGTTTCTCGTCTGGGTATTTTTATCACTTGTAACTTTGACCACCATGTGTGGACCTCTAGTTGCTAATTTTTGGTGTTTCTCAGGTCTATGTATCTCTGTTCTATCTTTTCGTTTTACATTCTAGAATGTTTGGTGGTTGTGGTGTGTGTTGTGAGTAGTAGCTGCTACAATTCTGGGAATTCTGGTGCTGTTATGCACTTGGTTGCTGTGATGTTTTTTATTTGTTTTCTTAGTTGGATTAAGTTGCTCCTTATTCTACCTGAGGTTGCAGCATTTACCTTCATTGGTACTAGAAGTATGGCCGACATTTGGTTTGCTACCTTATCTAATTTTGTTAATAACAACTGTTTGATTTTATATTATGATCATTACTAGTTTCATCCTCCTTGTAACTGTATCCCCATGTGTTGGAGATTATTTATTTTGCAGACTTGGAGGCTGGACGACTGTCTTGGCATTTTTTGAAGGAAGATCCCGTGTTCAAGGTTTTTTTCGTAGGTGTGGGTTAGCCTACTATTTTAACAGGAAGTTGGTGCTGATTGGTTTATTCTTGTTCTTCTTTTTTTGGGTGCTGACTACTTGCAGTCCTAGATTATTCTTAGGTATTTTTGTACTCTTACTATAACGAACCATCGGCTCTTAGGTTTTCTTTTGCTTTATTTTGTAGCTCCTGTGAGCATTAGTAAGCTTGAGCTTTCTTTTATGGACCTTGTAATCATTTTTTATATTAATGCGTATGCCCCTCCGTGGGTCCCCCCCCCCCCCCCCAACGGCCCCCCCCCCCCCCTCACAAAAAGCTACTTATATTAAAAAATAACTTCTATAACCATTGATATTTGAAAAAACATTTAATATATGTAAGTCAAATTGAGTTTAGATACTATCACATTTGACTTTTCTAGAAATTATAGATCAGAATTAGCCCAAGTTCAAGTTCCTCCCATCATTTCTCAGCTTCTAGATTCCAGATTATTAATTAGAGAAATTCATCATTTTCTAGAACCAAATATTCCCTATAAAAATAAGTAGTACATAAAATAATCAGAGAATAATTTCTTTTATTATCTCAATGTTGTTATTTGTGTAATAGAATAAAATGATGATTAAGATATGTAGATTTTGCTTTTAGGTTTTTGATGGATTTTAGGTGATAATTTTACACATTTTTTTTATTTGTCTTCTTCTTAAATAAGCAATCTTCTGTCAGCAATTTGCCAAAAATCATTTGAAAACATTTCTGAAAGAAATTTATTCCTCTGAAAATCATTTTCTGACACGTGTTTTATTGGCAAATATGCATGATTCCATCAAAAATTATAATTTTTGATGAAAACTCTAAGATTATGATGCATTTGTCCATCATAAATCACACATTTTCCTATAATGATGGATCTTATAGTGAATAATATAATTAGGGGTTGAGAAATCTATAGGAAAGGTAGGTTAAATTCTTCCCAAGGTCTTGGCCTCTTTGGGAGGTACAACTCCATGACTAATTTTTAATGTTGAGATGCATATTCTAGGTGCCTATTTACTATATTTGTATTGGGACTGATTGAGTGGTTTTAAGATACTATCTCATGGGCTAAATAGAGCTTTTCAGAATTACTTCAAGCAAAACAAATTCAACATTGATAATTGTGGTTAAAAGCAAACATGTGCATGAAGGATTTTATTTCCTTATATATGTTAAAAGTATTGAATTCAACTATTTATATAATAATAATAATAATACTAGGATTGTGATCCTTGTTTTGTCTAAACTAATATCTATCTTGTAATTATTTTTATTATTATTAGAGGTCCATGAACCTACAAGAATTAGACATTACCAATGGAAAAAAGCAACTTTCTAGAAATTTTAATTTCTGGTGATCATAATGGGTATGCAAAACTCAAAGATATCTAAGAGTCATGTAGGCTTAGAACTCCCAATGAAATCGATGCTATAATCCTTTGTTGCAATTACTCTGATGACGAAATGAAAATATATAATGTTGCAATTGATGCCAACTTCAAGAACTTTGCATTAAGGAGTCCATAGCTCCATCATCTTGCTTGCCATGGTAAAGCTTAGAATGTGATTTAGATTGTCCACATTATATCATAAAATTTGTTATAATTTCATATACAATTTTATATGCGCATTTTGTATGTATTCATGATATTATAATGAGTTTTGTAATATGATGTGTGCAATCTTATCATATTTCATGTTTTATCTCCATAACCAAAAAGATGGAGCTATGGACTTGTCACTTGTTGATGCAAGTCCTTGAATGGAGTAATATAACCATTTCTTCGAACATGAAACCATCCATTAATTATTTCAATTTAAATCTACATTAAGTGATACAATAATGACTAGTTAAATTTTTTATATTGCAAATTTTCTTTATTTATATGCGAAATATCCATATGCTTCATGCAAAGGAGTACTTGACAATGATAGATTTTTTTTCGTTAAATATTTTTCATTGAAATCCTTGATTTCTATTAAAATAATAATTGAGCTAAAACATGTTAATATTTCCTTACAATGATTTGTTTAGGTATTTCCTCACACAACACTTTTTCTATCAAAAAAAATCAAGTAATTTTGAGAGCATTTTCTCATTATTTTCATTATTGTTTTTCATTTCAGGTTGTTGTTTTTTATGCTATCTAACAACCGATCACAAAAAGACTCAACAATGATCTAAAATTATTAATATCATTTCTTGAAAACAAATATAAAAGAGGTAAGCAAATATTTAAATAAAAAAACAACTCAATATTACCAAATAAAATTTCCAATTGATATTAAAAATAAACTTCCAAAAGTATTCATATTACATTCTTAGCAAAGATTAAGATATTCAATTTATGAAATTGATGGGGTAAACCATATTGATGGAGGCCAATTAGTCCGTGAATAAGGGTGAAGGATATACTGAATGCGATCATTGGAAAGATCAAAAAGTCCAACATCACAATCAACATAACCGGGGAACATGTTGCTCGAATGATCGGCGAAATATATGCAGTTTGGTTTAATTCCGGTAGCAACCATGTGATGCAAAGAAAATGTCTGATTAAAACCCACAAAAAGGGAGTATTCCCCCAACTCGTTGACGGGGATCCATTGAGAGTGAGAAGAAGAAGAAGAAGAAGAAGAAGAAATAACAACAGCTGGCACAAACTTGAAAATAGAGATAGTCATTGTTCTCGCATTAAGGTGACTTTGAAGAGTAATATCAATCACCCTCTCTATTCTTAGAAGAGTTCCTGACAAAAAGGCAATATAGTACATATAATCAATGTTAAAGGAACGTTGGTATGGATTGGGCATATTCGGGCAGATTAATTCAACATTTTGTCCATTGAGGTCAAAAGCAAGCACAAGAGAAAAATTTGTGATTGCATAAAATCTTTGATCTTCTTTAAGATAGCAAACATCCTCAAATTGCTCCTCATCCATTGTGTTGTAAGGAGATAATGTTGGCCCGAGAACCCAAGTCGAATCTTCTAAACTTGCCAAAGCAAGCGCTTTTCTAATACCAAAGATAACAACAACAGTTCCAGAGGAGTCATTAGAGGAGACAATGATCTTATGAAAATATATATCACGAAATTCATCAGTCGTAAAGTCAAAGAAAATTTCATTGAAAGAAATCCTGATGTAGCTGTCAGGGGCATATTGTGGCTCAATCAAGGTGAAAAGGGATGGGAGCGATATTTCGGCCTTTGTGACAGGGTTGAAGAGACGAGGTTGTAGATCAATTTTGTCAAGGGTCACAAGCCATCCATCGTTGGAGCCCAAATAACGGCGGCCATAAGTGTGGCTACCAATGGAGGAGAAGCGACGATGGACGCTGAGGATAGCGTCTTCTCTTTCTATAGTAAGTTCATGGAAGGTGAGTGTGTCGGAGGCCTCTTCAATATCATTGGAAAGGAGCAACCATGGGGAGGGACAACATTGAAATCCAAGGAGTGCATAGTTATCAAGGGTGGAACTCCATGAGGTACAGACAACTGATAATCGAACTAAGTCTACAATGGACAAGTGCGATGCGATGCAACAAAGGAGATCTATGGGGAGATCAGACCATGCCATAATATTATTGTATTTGAGGTGGCCAATGTACGAAAGGAGCTACGGTGCCTTCCAACACTACCACACTCGGACTAAAAATAATAAGAGTTGGAATCAAATATGTAATCTTTGTTCAAGATATAAATATGTGGAATAAAATAAGTATTCGTGGCAAATATTAAAGTGCATTAATTTTTCTTCTCGTTTGTGCCTAATTAAATTGGCCAACTAGCATTATCCATACATAGAATAGGGTGCGAAATTAAAGTTGTAAAAAATTAAATTATCAAAAATTTTATATGCATTTTTAAATTAAAATTTATTTTTTATTGCATGTGGTTTATTAAGATATTGAATTTGTGTCAAAATTTAGCATTATTTTAAGATGTCTCGAAATGATTATTTTTAAATATATAAATTAGTGAAAGATGACAAAACATATATTATATGCGTTACAATAGACAGAGGTATTTATTTACAATAGTTATATTATTTTGTTATACAAAATGAATTTGTTGTTCTTAATAGCTCTTTCAATAGGTTGGAAATAATTTGTTTTTTAATAATATTATAAATTATCAAAATTTCTGTTTAATTTAGTTCTTATAATAAAAATATCTATCATGTAGTGCATGAAATTTGCTTATTTTAGTAATATGCAAACCACTCACTAATTCTGATTAAAAGAGATCCCACTGCATATCTTATTTCCTCTAATGAGATATCCTCATTGTGTGGTTGATGGAAGGAATAATGAAATAAAAAAAGGTAATTAGTTCATCATCAACAATTAATTGATAGGCAAAATTTAAAAGTACAATAATGCATGTATGATGCATATATGTATATTGCTTTGTTAGAAAGTAATAAACAAGAATGGAAAAGAAATATCATTTGTCTTTTCCACCCTTCTTCTTCCTCCCTCCTTGCCATTGGTGTCTAGACAAAGCTTCTTCTCTTTTAGACTTTATCTTATTCTTAGGGACGAAGATGGAGGAGGCATTCTTGATTGGTCTGTTGGAAGCTTTACATCAATCCTAAGGAGATCATACACAAATGGCAGCCTTGTAGAACCCATTACCACTGAAAAAATATATACAAAAAATTGTCATATTCTCATTGTACTTATAAATGCACTACACAAATTTATTGTATAGATTTCAAAAGTAAAAGATTTGGATCAAATTTTTCATAAATCAAATATTAAAAATATTTACAAGATCATGACTTTGACTGCCTTTGAAATTATTTTAAATGCTTTTTGTTCACTAATATGAAAAGTTTCAACAATATGTGATCCATTTTATATGTTAGTTTAAATTATGCATTTGTTTGAGGGATTATTTAAAACGAGTGCTAAAATAACATGGTTTTGGGCTTATAACTTTATTATTTCCTCCATCACTAAGATTGCTAAAAAATTAGACTATTAACCACACCTTTCGTCAACCGTATATGGGATCGTTCAATCTCACGTTGATGATTCTCCTTAGCAACACAAACTATAATATTAAAAATGAACTTATAATTAAAAAAATATTCATATTTTATGCTTAACAAAGATTAAGATATATAATTTATTAAAAAATTTCACTATGAAGAACAAAAAGCCTTGCATCTCGATCAACGTACTCTTGTAACTTATCGCTCAAATGATCAGCAAAATGTATACAATTTGGTCAAATTTTAGGAGCAAGTGTGAGATGCAAGGAAAAAGTTTGATTACAGCCCACAAACAATGAGCAACCCCCAAGATCCTTAACAGGGATCCAATAAGATGAAGAACAAGAAGAGACAGCAGTGGGCAAAAACTTGGAAATAAAGATACCCACTTTCTTCGCTTTCCAACTATTATTTATCTTCCTTTTAGTAGTATCAATCACCCTCTCTATTTTTAGAAGTGCTCCTGACAAAAAAGCAATATAGTACATGCAATTAGAGTTTTTGGTGCGCAAGCAATGGTCTTAGCTTGCCGGGTAGATCAATTCAACATTTTTCCCACTAAGGTCAAAAGCCAGGACCATCGAGAAATGTGTGATTGTGTAAAATCTTTTATCTTCTTGGTGATAGTAAACATCATGAAATTGCTGAACGTGCGTCATGGCGTAAAGAGGCAATTGAGGGCCGAGAACCCATGTTTTATCTCACGGCCTTGCAAAAGCTAGAGATTTTGTATGTCCATAGATAGAAATAGCAGTTCCTAATAAGTCATTAGAAGAGACAATGATCTTTTGAAAATATATATCACGTAAGACTTCCTCATATGTGATAAAGTATGAGTAAATTTCAATACAAAAAAAAATGATAGAGTCGTTAGGGCCATATTGGGGGTTTATCATATGCCCTTGGTCTTTAGGTATGGTGAAAAGAGATGGGAGCGATACTTCATCCTTTGTGAGAAGGTTAAAAAGGCGAGGCTGCATATCTTCTTTATCCCGACACAACCCGACCCGTCGATTTCTTCCCAGCACAAGCAAGATTAGTAGTAGTTCAGGCATGAGCATTGCAGACTTTATGGTGCAGGCGCGTCCGTGCGGATGAGTGGCTAAGTGCGGCCTACTGAGAAGAAAGTGCAGCTTACTAGGGCGTGCATGGGACAAGTCACCGCCACTAAGCTAGGGCACTGGGACCTGGGGTGAACTGCGCGGCATAGGATGCATCGATGCGGGACTGGGAGACTGTTAGGAAGCCGCCACTAGGCTAAGGCACTAGGGGCCATGGGCGAACCGTGTGGGATAGGATGTGTTGATGCGAGACGGGGAGGACAGTTAGGATGCCGCCGCTAATGCACTGGGCTGAAGTCTGAACTGTGCGATGTGCTCAGTGGTGTGGGTGTGATCGCGTGAGCCATCAGTTCCTTTGCGGCCAGCCGACCATGTTGCAACACATAAGAGAGTGAATTAGCGCATCAGTGGGATTGGGCATAATCACATGGGCTATAGTGAATGGTTATCCGAGTCAAAACGGATCGACTCGCAAGTTTCCGAGTCAACTTGAACTCGACCCGTTTTTCAAATGGGTCAGAAATCCAAACCCGGACCCTACCTGTTTCACAAACGGGTTTACCCGAACTAGGATTTTTTTGGATCGTGTCAACTTTTCACACTCCTACTCTCCAGGTTCATTGGCAAGCAATAGACATGGCGAGGGACGACATTGACTTCCATTGGGTACATCGTTGGAAAGAATGGAATTCCATGAAGTGCATACACCGGAGAATCGAAGGTAGTCTACAATGGGAAATTGCGATGAGAAGCAATAGAGGAGATCTATTGGGAGATTAGACCATGCCATAGTATTATAGTATATGTGGTGGCAAATAGATGAGAAAAAGGCGCTTGAATGCCTTATGCAATCTTTGTTAGATATATAGGCATAACTGCACACATGTTCAACAATGACAAATAGAATTAAACTTCTCCATACAACCACTAAAAATAGTTGAAATAAAAGTAAAATGAATAGTAAAGGCCAACAAATGTTTAAAATTATAATATAATTTTAGCACCAATAAAATGTAGTGAGTTCAAATAAATACTATCCTCACAAAAATGTTTTCAAATAATGTTCGAAATGACCATAAAAAACTTGAAAATATTGGATCATAGTCTATAAATGCTATAGATTCCAATAGTTGTCTGCCAATCTCTAGAAGAAGTTTAATTGGAAAGGGGTAGGTAACCATTTATCTAAAGAAAATGTTATAAACTTGGGCCAAGCTTCTTAAACATATGTTAGAAGTCATTTAAATTCATGCGCATATTTTAGCCCCCAAAGATATCTATACTACTATTATAAAAGGCGCTTGAGTTTCCTTCCTCCGGCAAATCTTGTTCATCCATTCTACTTATTTTTTAATTATATTGGCCGTCCATTCTATTAAAAATATTTAATAAATAAAAAAATTCACATTATATAAATTATTTCTCTGCACATTTTATCATAAATTTTATGTACATTTTACCATTAATTATTAAAGCTAATTCTATTAATTTTACATTTAATGATCATTCTGAATTAATTCTCTGCACATTTTATCATAAATTTTATGTACATTTTACCATTAAAGCTAATTCTATTAATTTTACATTTTCGGCATGTTATACAGGCAGGCGAGATTCCCTAAGTTTAATTTATTAATTCTTTTGGACGTTTTATTAATTCAAAGCTATTTAAGATAGTATTTTATTAATTTCATTTTGTGCAAGTCTAAACATATCCTAATATCGCCTTCGCCTCTTCGTTTTCACGTCGTCGTCCATACTCTTCGGCTTGCTCTAGTTGACTCCATTCGCCGAGGTAGGTTTCACTCCAAAATTTTTGGACTCTTAAACTTCTTTCAAGTTTGTTCTTCCCCGCAATTAAGCACCCCTATTTTTATTTCGGTGTTTCAACTTCTTAAACGTTCTAGCTGCCTTTGCTCGCCGTCATGTTCTTCGGTAGATTTCTTTGCCTATATTTCTTTAACTTCTTAAACGTTTCAGGATCCTTTCTTCAATTATTTCCGTCTCCTTGAATTCTTCAAAGTTTTATTTTGGTGATTTGGATGCATGAAGATGAATTCAATCGTTGAAACATTTCAGCCTCCGACCATTCGTTTCCCGTAAGATGACTGTCACAATGTTCTCTTTATCCCTTATATATATAATTGGTAAGATGACTGTGGCATGTTTTCACTTTAGCGCTTTCGTGATTTGGATTTCAATTCTGGATCTCTATTTTTTTTTGCTTCAGCGAATCTGTACTATTTCGGCTTCAATTTTAAGTAATTAATTTTATATTTTTTGTCCGAATTATATTTCTTAAAATTGTTTGCCCAAATAGTTTTTTTTTTTATTATTACATTAAACTTCATTCATCACCTCATGCTTCCTATTCCTCAAATATCTTAATTATATAGTTGGTAATAGGAGAATAGTATCATTAACATTATGCAATCAGGATTTTGTGAGTATTCAACCATTATTCCTTGAAAAGAAGGTGTGGTAATTTTAGGGCATAAAATCTTCATTTAGGGCAAA